GAACCACTCAGGAGTTGTTGGGCAAGTTGATTGAACTTGAGGCTGTACTCCAAAAGTCACTCACTTTGAGCTTGAATTTAGTGACCAGGGATGATTTCAAGCAAGGCTAGCTGTTAAAAACATTTTAGTAAGTACTTGAAGTTTGCCTTCACGTGTTGCACTGTTATCCTCTACTGTTCCTAAAGTTTGATCATCATTTGTGGTAATACCAAGCTCACACTGGGAATGACTGCATTCCCATTTTCATCCATTTTTTCCCTTTGGATTGTATAATTAATTGGATTATCGCAATGCATTGACCAGGGGATCCTTCACCCAATGTTATTTCATGATCTGGCCAGATGTCCCGTTTTCTTGGCTTAAAAGAAAGGTGTCTATATTTATTTTCACTTTATCTTCATTATCCTCTCTGGCACATTTTCTATGCTTGCTGATTATTCACTTAATCAACAACCGAGTAGCTATTAACAATCCAGGAATGATACCGATGTCCGAATCTTTGGATGCTTATAACCGCGTCGCCAACGTAGAACTAGGATACTCAAGTGAACCATCAAAAGTCAGTCTGAGACACATTGTTGTACTTCGGGTGTGTCACAGTTGACCAACCGGCTGGCGCGACGATGATCTTCGTCAAGGGGAACCCACGTGACGTCGCTTGCTGATTCGATAAATGGATCAACTCTCACCACTCCTGTAAAGAAATTTCAGCCGATGTTTCCTGCTGACTCGCCTACTGTATTTGAATTCAGGCCCAGCCCGTGAATTACGCGCCGGCGAGAGTGCATCATGGCATATTGATCAAGACTTGCGGAGATGTTCAGCTCGGCCGGAGGTTTGTGGATTACATTAATTTGCATCAAAGCTTCTCTATTACTAAGGAGACGCTTCGCGGCACCATGTATCATGGGGGCGACGGGACTTCTTCTATCTTGGCATTGTGCAGCTCCGGGCCTGGGTGCTTTTTGCTTCCCGGTGCAATGTCCAAAATGTTAATCCACCCGTATTGGTACGCCGACCTCAAGATACATTGACAAGCCAACGAGACTGAGCAATTCAGAGCAATCACTTGCCATGCCATATACGCTTATGTCCAGAGCATAAACCACCCCTTAAGATAGTATCAGCCGAGGCGCTTACAATCTTTACCGCAAGGAGATTGGAACGACTCCCGAGCCTCCAGTCCAACTGGCCCAATCACGCATTTACTGCAGCGTTGGATGCACCGGACAAGTAGAGGGAATACACGCCGCTGTGTGGCTGAAATCTTGGGATCTATTCTCACCCCGACTGTCTGGAGCGGGGACAAGGATTGTTCCTTGGTTATTTACAAAGACACGCGGTAAACAGGACCGATATTGCTGCCGGGCCCTGGTCATAATTTCAGTCTCCTCGGGTATCAATCTTCGGGATCTAGAACTTGTCTTTTAACCTGTGCGTTGGCAACCCCACAATGAGCGCGGACATTTTCCTGATCTCCAAGTCTTGCTGCCAACTTGCCTTTGAATGTCTCCAAATACAAATCATCCTGCCAGTTCCAATGCCAGTTGCTCCGGTGGCCCATTTCAATCTCAACAGGGCGAAAGCTGGTCTCAACCAAATTACTGCCCTCAGTTACGCTGCACCCGTCTGAATCCCAAGAGTTAATTCAGTAGGCTTTGTACCTTTTTTGCTGAGCCATTGGTATCTGCCTACCCATGTGCTACAAAGCTGGAGTTGATTTGCTATAAAGCCAGCTTCATTCATCCCTCCCAATCCACAACAGCACTACACAGAGGTTGTTCCATCGAGACTCACTTTATCCTATCCCTTATACCCGGCTGTTCCCTTCGCCTCTCTCACCCATTCATCATTCATCATCCACTGTCCGCATTCCTTCAAAGCTACCATGCAAGCCCACCTCTCCACTCCGGATTCAAATCCGCGCCGTAGACTCTCTTCGGCCATCAGCAAATTATCCTTGAACAAGATGAAAGCTTTCGTGTCATCATCCACAATTGCACCCAATGTAGGCACAATCTGTTCGATTGATTTATAGTTTTATCGTGTTGAGACTAATCATTTCGCTCCTTGAATCAACTGTAGTTGAGCTCTCCCGGCACCGATCAATCCGAGAACGCCAGTGATTCGTCTGTAAGCTCCATTCTTTCGCAACAGCCGCTTGAATACTATCGCCGGCCAGCTCGTTAACCTTTTTAATGCTCTGCATGGTACATCTTAGTTATCTGTCTCTCCGCCACCTTGCCCAATTCTCCATGCCAACTCCCAAACCATGAAAAACTACGCCAGCCAAAGATCCGTGAGTTCGCACTCTCTCGTTACATCTAGTCACTTCGCTTGTTTCTGATCCACTGGTCCTTGTTAGAACAAAACTCCATTCCGAGAACCCGCCTTATTCCCCACTAGCCTCAACTTCAGCCAACAGACGATTTATCTGTTTGAATCCAACGAAGGCGAGGACGACGAAAACTTGAACTTCTACTTAAATGATCTTCTTGTGAGAAAGTTTTCCTTCGAGCGGAATTATGTTCCAGTTCAAGTCACTAACTGCTGCAAATACAAATTCAGCTCGGCCCGAGCGAGCCCGCCACAAGTGATCAAGGTCACAAGGATCAAACCCCCGAAAAAACGACGAAGCAACGCAGCTTCCACTTGTCTGGCCGTCATATCAAAAGCAAAAAATTCAGTCTGAATGCCTTTCCCCTGACCAAAAGCGTGTCATTCCAAAACCACGGCAAAGGGTTAATCAAGCGGTCAGAGTCAACCTTGTTCCGGGCAGCCAAACCTAGTGCTTTGACTGCTAGCCCTCAGGTAAATTCGGATAACTTATTTGCATGTATCATTCTTTATGGGCCGAAGCTGACAGAGCTTTCTTCAGACCGCTTCCCACCCAGTCGCTGAACCCGAGGTGCTCCCAAAGAAAGAGGATCTACCCCGAAAGATTAGTGATCCCATAACCGATTATTCAAAATTTTCTGTAAGTTTATATGTTCACAAATAGTTCTGAATTGGATGGGCATTATTCTGAGAATCTTCTTGTAGGAGCGCACTCGGCTGCTTTCACTTCCAACCAAGTTGGACACTGCTCAGATCAAGCAGACCATGCCAAAGGAGAAACTTCCCACTCTGTTAGAAGCCATCCCAGAGCAATCGAACGTATCTTCACCGACCTTTTCTACGGATGTAAGATTATATGTTTTGGCGTTGAAATCAAGTTCTTAATCTGATGATTATTTTTCGTTTTGAATATCTCCACAGTCTCACACCGCACTCTTGACCCCACAACGATTCGAGAATGAAGCAATCTGTCCACGAATCGATATGATTTTAACATCATCTCCTTTTTTCAACAATAACAACTCTACTCTATCACCGGTTCTTAACCAAGAACCAGGCACACCAATCCTGCATTCCCGCAACACCAATGGCTGTCTATTCCAGACGCTCACCCCCTACACTTTTGCAGCCCCCGAAACTCCAACGACCTGTGTGAACAGTATTTCTGCTCATCAACACCAAGCTACGCCTCATGGAAAGTTCGCGATGTCCACGGGAAGCCCTGGGATCTTCAACTTACCGACGCCCTGTTCGCAACCCTTGAGGACCCCTGTCAGACGTCAATACTCTCTGCTTTCTCCTCACTATCTACCTTCCCCCTTGCCTCCAAGAGATTCCTCCTCACACGGTCAAGCTTCTCGTGGCCCCGGTGCTGATATGTTGGCCACGCTTGAATTCCTTTCGGACTTGTGTCAAAAATCACCGGAGTACTTGGAGGAACAGGACAGCCTTCACGAGCGTGCTAGTATTCAAGACTCTAATGAGCTCTGAGTAGTTCGATAATCATTCTTGAATACCTTCACTTCATTCTTTCTAGTTTCTGTTTTCTTCCTTTTCCCAATATCAACCTAGTTATGATGAATTTTTTGAGTGATCCAAATAATTGTTAGTTGAGTATTCTTGAAATGTTTAACGTTCGAGTCTCTTGTTCCAGTCCGATGTCATCTGTTTTGCCCAGAGATCATAGTTGTCCTCTCATATTAGCTTATCATCCGTCCATCAATTTCGCTACCCCGTCATTTATTTTTCTATTCTCTCTTTATCACACTGACTCTTTTTTTATCTTCTTCTCTTCTCTCCTTATTCCAATTAACTTATTATTTGCATGTTTGGTCCTTCAGTAATTTTATCTTCCATATCTTTTTATAAGTAAATCCATTTGTAACACCGTTTAACTGCGTTCAATCTTATTTTGAGGATGAACCTATAAACCAGAATTTCTTATCGTATTATTTCTTTCGTCCAATCAATAATTCTTCAGTCAATTTTGATGTTCGCCATCACCCATCTTTTTGAGCATTGCAATTTGGAGCCGGAGACAAAAGAATGGCGCGGTTTGCTTGTTGCTACCTGAAATTCCAATCCACATCACTTGGTATTCGTAGTAGGCTGGTTGTTGTTGATATTGCTCATTCTAAGAAATCATTTTCAACGAAGACAGATTGGTTGTTTGTCCTCTGATTTTGTCGATGCCTGGCTGCGGCTGCGGCTGCGGCTCTACATAGCCAGTGGGGAAACTCTCGCGATTTGGCTTACTGAACCAGAAAGAACTCCATCGACCATTCACCATCAACAGCTTCGACCTCGTCCCCCACCTAGTCGGTCGTCCACCTCCTACGTACCCTGCGTCATGCCGAACGCCATCGATATCTCAGCCTCCTCTATGACCGGCCTGTTGGGCGCGGTCGAGGCTTCAAAAACGGCGCATTCTCTGACCCGCAAGCCGACAGCAAAAACGACAGGCGATGATACTGCAGATGACATTTACAACCTCTCACGTTATAAGAAGGGCTCAGCCATCACAAAGAATAGCTCAAAGTCAAGGGATTACTCGGAAAGGAACTTCAAGGGCTCAAACAAAGGTGTCAAGTCACGGGCGATGAAAGATAGATCGGACACGCAAGCTCCACGGATGTCATCGAAACCTCCCTCAGTCCAAGAACAGTTGGCCATGGAAGCACTCGAACGCAAGTCCAAAATCTACGAAGCTACTATGTACGCCGCTGGATACCCTTTTCGACCATGCTTCATCACATCCCTTACTATTGTTTCTATGAATGTAGACGGGGTCAGAAAGGAGGATTGTCCGAAAAACAGCTGGAAGCCTGTCCATTGGATGTTGATGCCAAGCGAGCGAATCTACACTCAAAAGCCGACTCGGACACTGACGAAAGCGTGGAAGAACTATCCAAGTCTGCGAACATTGCTTCATCATCCATGCCCCCCACCTCTTTCGCAGGTCGATTATCCTCTGCACAAGATTCATCGAGACCGGCTATGCTTGGTGAACAAGAGACTGAAGAAGAAGAATGGATCGAGGGTAAAGATGAGTTCGGGCGAGATATCCTGATTCCCGCAACTAAATTCCAAAGTGTCACACTCGACCCCCAGCGGACTTTGGCATTTACTCAGACAGAAAGTGCAAGTCATCTCCAAGGAATTGGGTTTGTCATCTCTATCTTTCTCTGTCAAGTCCTGGCCTTTTGAGCTCCCAGCTTTGGCATTTAACTTGTCGCTCATCTGATCATCTCTGTCTATCCCTCTTATCGATTTTCGATTTTCGATTTTTCTCTTTTCACAGAGCCCACTATGGCGCACAAACTGACTTCCCACTGCTGGAGCCCACCGAACGACCTCAACCAAAGAGGACAACAGATGAGCCTATCGAGAAGTACTTTGACTCAAAGGCTGAGCGCCGTCAGCTGGGCACGGCCTTCTATGCACTGTCCAGTAATCCAGAAGAGCGCCAACGTCAACAGGAGGAACTTCGGGCACGCGAGGAAGAGACCAAGCAGGCCCGGACCACTACCACCAGTCTTCCCGATCAACAGTTGAGTGCCGCCGAAAAAGCTCTTGAAGCCCGTAAACGCCTCTTGCAATCTAAGAAGGAAGAACTTGCTCGTAAGCGCATGAAGAAAACAGATGCGAGCTCAGCTGGCCCTGCTCCGCTATCATGATCTATTCAAGAGTTTATCCATGTATCATCAAACGTTGGACCGTAGGCTGCATCATCCATCCTACCCCTTCCTGCTTGTATCATCGAAGTCAACGTCGTTCAAAAGTTACATATCAAAGAAACAGATGCACGAGGAAAACTTGGCTTGATCAATTTGAATCAAATCCTATCGAACCAAATCCACTAGTCAAGCAAGTTTCAGTTCACTATTGGGACGATATTTCTCTGAGTTGCAGCCCTACAAGATGATATTGTGGCATGTACCGACGGCCCAACGCGAGCATATTATCTTTGGCAGCTCTATCAATGAACCCACGGTGGGTCTCAAATGCACGGACAGAAAGAGACCGTCGATTAAACAAATGGTTTGGACACCCCTGCCTTTTCTCAGTCCCTGTCTTTTTTCTTTTCTTTCAAGCTCAGGTCCACCCAGTGACTTGTCAACCACTCCTTTGTTGAGCCCTTCCAGTCCAAACAAAAAGAAAACCAGGGAACACAGTTCCCTCAGACGAAAGCTCTGCTATTTATCTTCTTATTTATAATGTATATATGTGTCATTAATGCAACGATTTCAAAGCCATTTGAATATATAAACCTGTTTTGTGATTAGATGGCCGTCGCGTTCATGATGCCAGTGGCCTTGAGGTCTTTCTCGGAAGTCAGCAGCAGTTGTCACGTAGGACATGATGCAGGCGAGATGGAACGAGATGCTCTTTGAAAGACCACTGAAATTTTTCAGCTCAGCTGTACTCATTTCGTCACTGAATTTGAAGAGTATTGTAGAACCGATTTTGTTTTTGGAAAAGATTCTGCCGAATCCGAGGGATATGATAGTTTGTTGCAAGCGTTGAAGATGACGCGGTACGGGGCCGATGGAATTTGGCTCGCTGTTGACGGGGTGAGGGTTTTTTAGGCGGTGGATTGAGTCGAGAACTTGGAGAATATAGGTGCCCAACAGGTCCTCACTTTCAGTCCAGATGGATTGGAGGATACCAAAGTTAGATCATCGACCCATGTTTTTGAGAATTCTGGCGATGTTCACGTGGAACTGGCTAATCTTCATAACCGGCAGTCGGGGTTATCTGGACTGCTCCGGTGGTTCGTGGTCAGAGTAGTAATAATCCCCCTCAGAAATAAAGCCAGAAAGGTTATCGAATAAGGGACAGCGTCTTGTATGAGCTCAGTAACCTTCTTCTGCCAGTTTTGACATCAATGGGGGGGCAATTCAACGACTGGGTCACGAGTGGCAGGTAGTAGAGTAGTTTCAACTTTATTCAAGTGGTCTTGTCGGGTCTTTAGACCTTTCCCTGGTGATACTTTTTGCTCCGGTTGGGAACTGAATCCTCAATCTTGAGTTCTTTCTTAATTTGCCTTTCGAGGGTTGAGCTCGACTCCGAGTAAGCATTGAAGATGATGAAGGAAGATCTTAGTCTGGATCCTTATGGAGGCTCTGAACCGATATGTTGGCCAACTT